AAAAAAGGCCTCTTCTCTTTCTTAGCCCATTACCATTCTTGGGAGACACTCTGTTTTTTTTCACCTCTGTTTTTCTCTCAAGGTCGGCTTCTTTTTCCATTGTTCTCGGATATATATGTTTTTTTGCATTAAATTAATTTAATTTTTCTTTTTTTGGTAAAAAATATTTTATGGTAGACAGTTAAAAAAAGGACAACAAGATGACGAACCAGAATGTGGTGGTGGCCGACGGCATCAACGTGGCCATAGCGGTGGCAGTCGGCGGCTCCTCCCTCTTCACGACGGCGGCCCAGAAGCCCCCGCCGGCGCCGGGCACGAATTACATCACCATCTCGAAGAAGAAGCTCCTCCAGAACCTGGACATCGGCGGCGGAGGAGCCGCCCGGATCAACGCGTGGGTGGACGCCATGAGAGCCTCCTCGCCGACGCACATGAAATCGGCGGCGGCGGCCGTCTCCGACGAGAACCAGAGCTCTTGGGATGTAAGTATCTATGTATGTATGTATGTATGTATGTATGAATGAATGGATGTTAGATGCCGATGAGGTTAATTAATGACATACATACACATGTCAAATGGAGCATTGCGCATCGACATTCAGATGCCCACCAACAAACACGTGTTACTTTTTAATAATATTATTATTATTATTATTTTTTTGTGACAATGGAAATTGGAAATTATGATGGAATTGATTTATTTATTTATTTCAGATGCAACATCCATCGGCACTAGACATGTTTGATGAAATAGCAAAAGCTTCAAAGGGGAAGCAAATAGTAATGTTCCTCGATTATGATGGCACCCTTTCTCCTATAGTGGATGACCCTGATCGCGCATTTATGTCTCAGGCTGTTAGTATTTATCTTTATCCATCTCATTTTTATTTTTTTAAATTTTATTTACAATATATGTTTAATGAAATGTTCTTTTGTATAGATGAGAGCAACTGTGAGGAAACTTGCTAGATATTTTCCCACTGCCATAGTTAGCGGGAGATGTAGAGATAAGGTATTATTATTATTATTATTTTTAAATAAAGTGAAATNTTATATAATATGTGTATGTACATATGTCTACAGGTGTACAATTTTGTGCGTTTGGCAGAGCTTTATTATGCTGGGAGCCATGGTATGGATATAAAAGGCCCATCAAAAGGTTTCAAGCACAACAAAGTGAGTGTTGCCTGTTTGTAATTGTGTGTGTTTGTTCTATTTTATTGTCTATTAATTTTTTTTTTTTCAATCATTTATATCAATTTTGATCCTTCTTTGAAATAAAAATATAATCAGGGTGCTCAAGCTGTTCTTTTCCAACCTGCTAGAGATTTCCTTCCTATAATCGACGAGGTAAGCTATTGAATTCGTTCAATTATTCTCTCATAGATAAATTTTTTTTTAATATTTTTATTTTTAAAAAAAATAAATTCAATTTTGGGAAATTTCAGGTTTACAAATCACTGTTGGAGGTGACAAAGGACACCCCAGGTGCTAGGGTGGAAAATAACAAATTTTGTCTGTCTGTGCACTTCCGTTGTGTTGATGAGAAGGTACCATATAAGTCATAAATTATAATGATTTTGTTTACCAAACAATTATTATTCAAATACAAAGTACACAAGTCATAAAATTATAATGATTATATAATATATTATGAATTAAAACATTACATGGGACCTCGTTTGCTTTCTTCATGAAAGCGCCCACTAAAAGTAGATTTGTAATTGTATGCTACATTGCTATATATTGACAGCAATTTTTACCCCGAAAAATTAAAAATTAAAGTAAAAAGAATTAATCTTGTTGCAATTATGTCTGTAAAACTACAGAGATGGATCGAACTAGCTAAAAAAGTTGAATCAGTAATTCAAGGCTACCCGGACCTCCGATTGACACAAGGAAGAAAGGTACATTTTTTATTTATTATATATTTTTGTTTAATTAATTAATAAAAAAATCCCACAAAAATTTTACGAAGGATACAACTATTTAAGGTGAACACATACGACAAACTATAATGGTTGTACGTTTAAAGCATATTAATACATCAATGTACTTACAAGAAATTTTTGTTTTGTAGCCAAAAAAGTAATTTGTCTCAATTGTAATTTGTGGATGTTAACCATTGCAGGTGTTTGAAATACGCCCCACCATTAAGTGGGACAAAGGCAAGGCTCTCGAGTTTCTGTTGGAATCACTTGGTAAGTCCTAAGTACAAAGATTTCATTAATTAATCTGCTCCAACACTTAAATATTTAATTTGTTTATTTATTTTTTTTCAAAAAAGTAATATTTAAACTTTAATCTCACTCCATAGGCTATGCCAACTGCACCGATGTTTTTCCGGTCTACATCGGAGATGATCGAACGGACGAAGATGCATTCAAGGTATATAATATATATATATATTGAATTTCTATTATGACTATAATTAGATTATTTAATTGATTTTCATGACTTTGGACAATTAATTTTGATTTGTCTTAATTGTGATTAGGTGCTTAGAGAGAGGGGTCAAGGTTTTGGAATTCTTGTTTCGAAGACTCCGAAAGACACTAACGCGTCATATTCATTGCAAGAACCATCGGAGGTAGGTTTTTTTTGGATAATTTATTCTGTATAAATTATGACCNTTTTTTTTAATGGTAATTGAAAATGCGGTTTACAATGTGTTGTATAGGTCATGGAATTTTTGCGTCGCCTAGTCGATTGGAAAAAATTGTGCCTGAGAAGGCAGTTCAGATTGGGAAGACGACTTGAAGAGATCAAAGTGTCTTTATCAAATTGAGGAGCTATTATTAATATTAATATTTATAGGATGAAGAAACACATATATATATATATATATTATTATATGAGTGTGTTTCATGTTAGAAGTTAATAGAAGATGTCATGTAACTTTTCTTTCCTCTATCTTTTACCTTATAATGTTGTGGGTGGGAAATTAGGAAAGTTAACAGGGGTTAGATGGTAAAAGAAGAAAAGTGTTTTTTCCTGTTCTCTTTCTAATTGGTACGCAGCCCTTGTACATTATGTTATTTGTAAATTGAGTATGTCCGAGGGCGTATGTAATGCTGAACGTTATTTTCTAAGTGAGAAGAAGCATCTCTATTTACTTCTCGTTGTATAAAGAAGTGTCCCATTTCAGTCAAGTTGGCTCCATAACGGAGCCAACGATTGGTTCCATAGCAGGACTGTTCATTTTATAGCTAGAGTTGAGGAAAATATACAATCACTACATTAATGAAGAGCTGATGGGTAGGGCCCACAAGATTTGAAAGAAGAATATTAGTAACATTGTTGTTTAATGGGATTTAGGAATATAAACTAAAGTTGACCGGATACAGAATTTTCTTTGGTCTGGTTTGGGTTCTCCCACGTGCTCCCACCGTTTGTTTTTGTGGTTAGGAAAACAATTATTATCAAATTCAAAATAATATTCTCTAAATATCCTTTTTTATAGTATTACTTTTAGAACTTTTCGATGCTATTTATATATTTTACAACTTTTACAAATCAAATCAAAATATTTTTTCTTATAGAAATTTGATTGGAAATGTATGCAATAAAATTAATTTATTCGTTACACAAGTAAAAGTTGGAAAGAAGAAATATTTGAACATGATAAATATTATTCAGCGAAAATAAAAGTTTACAATACACAAGCTGAAAAATTAAGTACATTAAGATGCACATAAAATAATTATTCGTACATGTAAAAAATATATAATATGTTTTGTTGTACATTAAATTTTCAAGGTTGGTCCGTCATGATGCATCATTGGTGATGGAAATTGGACCCCTGTCAATTTAGGTCAAAATCATAAAACAGGAGCCCAAGAACCCATATAACTAGTCTTGTGTTGATCTGTCTCCAGCCTAAGCGTCGATCTTTCAACTGATACCTTTTTGCTAATCTCTATACAGTGTGAACAAGAAACGATAAAGTGACCGTCCGATCGGTCCTATCATCAAAAGTCGAGGTTTCTCATGGAGACACATGTCATTCACTCGTTCCTCTACTTGGCACAAAGTCATCATTACTTTTCTACTTTATTCATGTATAAATTCGGCCTTCAAGGCTTCGGAAAATATATCGAAAATTCATCCAAATTATGCTAAAACCATTTTTTTTTATATCGTAAACATCATACATTCCTTTTTTTCCAACGACAAACAAGAAAAGTTATATAAGTCAAATACAAAAGTCTTACAATACGAGGCCTAACTAGGCACAACAGCTGCTCAGACTAGCATACGCACCAGTCAAAGAAGCAACGGGATATAAGAACTACAGATTCCCTTGAAAATCCATTCTAGCTAAAGAAGCAGAAGCTATACATGCACCCGAATTAAACTTGAACACACGAACAAAAAGATAACAACACAGAAAGAAATTGCTAACAAAGGCATCCACAGGCCCAACAACCAGGGGCGGAGCCACCATGGGCTAGGGTGGGCTCCAGCCCGAAGTAAAATTAAAAATAAAAATAATAATAATTTACATTTTAGATTATTAATGTTATATACACCTATGTACATTTTAGTTAGCCCTTTGAATTAGACCACAAGACAACAACAAAGCCCAAAAAAATAAAAATTCAATGTTGGGTTGTTAAAATGGGCACTCTTCTCACACACTTTAACACGATTCTCAATTTTCACACAAAATTGACGATGGGTTCTCCTTAATCGGTTTCTCTCAAGCTTCTGCGAGACTGCGACGGTGAACGGTGCATTTTCCATTCAGTGATTGCGAAGAACGGGGAAGTTAGAACTATGGGCTTCGAGGATTGAGCAGCGGGGTGCAACCGAAAAGTCAGTGGGACCGAGAGTAACTCCGAGCCCCGAGGTAAAGACGGCTGAACCTAAATTGATTAATTGGCTTATTGAGTATGAATTGAAACTGTCATGTGTGTTTGGTGACTGAATTATTGAGTATGAATTGAACCGTCATGTGTGAATTTTGTGAATTAAACTGTGATGAGTTTGGTGACTGAATTTGTTCAATTGTTTGATTTGTTTATGTTTGTATCTTTATTCTCTAATTTGTCTAGGTTAATTTAATTTTGGTTTGTCTCTTTGTTTTGTCATATGTGAATTGAAAGCTCAATTGTTTTTCTCCCAGTGGGCCTATGGCTATGCCTTTATTTGTTTTGTTACAAGTTTTGAAAATTTATGTTGAAGTTGAGATCAACAAGAGAACATGTTTTTAGCTTAATTATATGTGTTAATGCTTGTTGATCATGATTCATATACTTGATGCTTTAAAAGGTGTGGATGCTTGTTTAGCATTCATAATAATAAAAGGGGTGGATGCTTAAGTCATTTTTGTTAATTAAATTCTAGTATATTTATTTGATTTAATTTAATTAATTTATTTGACATGTTAATTAATTCGTTTTGTTTTGAATTTCCTTGTGTATACAGCAACTACAGAGCGAACGTTTTTTTACTATGAAACTTGTCAAGACAGTGCTTTGTAATAAGATGGAGGAGTTTTTGGCGGATTCAATGGTTATTTAGTAATGATACTATAATCGTCGAGTTTGAATCTAAAAAGAATCGGAGATAGCAGTTTCATTAGCCCCAGCCCCAGACATTTTAAAATCCTAGCTCCGCCCCTGTCCACAACCCCAAAGCTCTTAATGCACCAGCCCACAACTTTCTTGCTATCCATAAGGAAAGTGACATTTTTCAGTTATGCTTCAAAGCATAAATCAGCATCCATAAAGCTCCAGCAGTATAGGCCTCCACTGAACTTCCTACAAACTCCCTAGATGCATCTCATAGCTGCAAATCCCCCCACTTCACTGAAAGCTCTCCCTCCCAACCCCAATCTCCCATTACTGAGGTAACAACTGACGGTTAAGAAAACATGATCCCCTACCTCACTCTTAAGATCCCTGTCTACCTCCCTTTCAATGCCTCCACTCTCCCCTGTTGACCCCTCACTCCCCTCTAAAGCCCTTCTTTCCAGCTTCTTAATCTCGCCCTCCCTCACCCTATGACTTCTCATCTAGATGCTGTTTACATTTTCTCAAATTCCTCAAGAGCTCTCCTAATATTGGCCTATTGTGTTCTTCACCTTCTCCATTGATTTTGCAAGCTTATGGGGATGCAGATTGGGCCACATACAAAGATACCCGTCAGATCAGTGACTGGCTATTGCATTTTCTTGGGGACTTCTTTAATCTCATGGAAAAGCAAGAAGCAAACAATGGTTTCCAAGTCTACAAATGAAGTCGAATATAGAGCGCTTAGTAGCACTATGCATGAGCTTCAATGGTTGTCTTTTAATGGCAGAGATCTTCAGATATCACTTCTCTAACCATATCTCTTCATTGTGACAATCAAGCTGCAATACATATCTCGGCCAATTCGGTTTTCCACGAACCCATCAATCACCTCGACATTAATTGTTATATAATGCGGGATAAATGCAAAGGAGGGTTCATTTCATTTCATCATGTCTCCACTACTTTGCAATTGGCCGACATCGTTACCAAGATTCTTCATGGTCCACATTTCAGTTGGCTTTTGTCCAAGCTGGGCTTGGTTTCATTCACCCAAGTCCAGCTCGAGGAGGGGGTGTTGACGCCTGAATATGTTCAAGTATATTTTCAACTTTAACTCGTGTTCCTCTTATACCTTAGTCGTGCTTTTGTTATTTAATTTAGTTACTTTTGCTTTGTGTTTTTTCACTTTTACCCTTAAAGTTTGTAGCTTTAAATGAAAGTTATCTTCCTCAGAGTTGGTAATGAGAAACATCGAAATTTAGAGTGCAGATATTTTCTCAGGTCGTTCAATTTGAGATATGCCATTTCTAAAGGCTTGGTTCTAATTATACGAGGATATTGAAACCCCTCATAATCTTGAACGCTTTAGTTGTGCTCGAAATAAGGTGAATTCACAACTACAATATTTTCAAAGGAATCAACCAATTATATAACTTCATCAATTTATAAAAAAAATAAAAAGATAGAACAATAACATCCAATTTAAGTCCAGTCCCCATGGCCACTAAGCTCAAAACAGACAAAAAACTATGGCTCTTGATATTTTGTCGGGATGCCTCGCTCTATAGTACAGTGGTCAATGACAGGAAAACATCTGCCAAAGGATAAGACATCATTTCAGTTAAATTTAAATATTGTATTTATAGCTACTCCGGTTTGTTTTATTTATTTATTTATTTATTTTTTCTCTCTATACTTGGAATGAGACTGGAGCTATATATATTGACCAATTTATGATCCATCTTTTCTCTTAACTGTATCCCATGCTGAGTCAAAAAGGATATTTTACGAGTCCTCTGACTATATATTTGATGCACAAATATAAATTTGGTAGCAAGGCTGTTCATCCAAGCGAGTTCTTTTGTAGAATTATATAGGTAATGGTTAAATTAGCTTTTATTTGTATTTACTATGAGTTATGATTCAAATAGTGGAAAAAAAAATGTTTATTGTATTGATTATGCATTGGATAATTAAGTAGTCCTATATACAAATCCAAATAAAATATTATAAGACATATATATAGATATTATATTTAAAACTATAAGGTACATAATGAGTATATCATATTTTATAAATATGATCATTACTAGAATGGAACATTACAATTATAAATTAATTTAACTTATATATGAACTCACTACATAGATTGCATAAAATTTAATGAAATAACATGTTTTTTCTACAAATTTAAGGGATTATGTCAAATTAATTGGTTAAGTATTATTAAAATTATTATTATTATAACAATTTTTTACACAATTTTAAGGGGATGCTTGGATACAATTTTATTAGCCTTTGGGTTGATTTGTTTAGTTAACCTGGGTTAATTCTGAGAAAGTTAGTTTATCTAGTTTTCGTGAGATTTTGAGTTTGTACTCAAATAATATTTAAAATAAAATCATTAAAGTTGATTTCCTGTAAACGTAGGAGAAAAATGATTAAGAGTACTAGTTAATTAAAATTATGTGACTGGATGGATAATGAATTAAATTGATATTATGTGTAACAATGATTGATTGATGTTATTTAATTATATTAATAGTATTGGGAATAATGAGTTGAGTTACAGTTGAGTTATAGTTTGAGTGGAGATTTATTTATTTGTTTTTTTTTTTTTCTGATTAATTTGTATCAAATCTTCCTCTAAGAGATTCGTTAAGCCATTAAAATAAATTAGGTACCCAAAAAAATAGGCTAATGTGATAAAAATGAAAAGATAATTTTAATTTTACAACAAATAGCTTGAAGAAAAAATTTTGCTTTAATTTTTTATATGTTTGTAATTTTCATAAACCTTTTAATATAAATTTATAATTATTTAATATTATTATTAATTATTCTATGATAAAGTAATTAAAAAAATATTGTTACAATTAGTTAATGCAA